CAGTTGGGACCCCTCAGAAAGTTCCCCATTAAAAAAAAAACATTTAGGGCCCCGACAAGGTTTAAAAAGGCAGTTGGGCCCCCGAGAAAGTTTCATCTCCTGAAGGAAAGACAGTTTGGCCCCTGAGAAGTATTCACATTCATAAATAAAACATTTAGAGCCCGACAAGGTTTAAAAAGGCAGTTGGGCCCTCGAGAAGGTTTAACATCCTTAAGAGCAGCAGTTGAGCCCCCGAAAAGATTTCACTTTCACAAAAATAGACAGTTGATATCCCCGAGAAGATTTCACATCCTTAAGAGCAAGTGTTGGCGCCCCAGAAAATGTTTCACCTTCTTAAAAAGAGGCAGTTGAGACCTCTGAGAAGGTTCCATATTCTTAAAAAAAGACAACTGGCCCCCAGGAAAATTCCACTTTCTTAAAAAATGACAACTGGAGCCCCCGAGAAAGTTCCCCATTTTTAAAAAAATTTTTGCGAAAATTATTCCGACAGAAATTCCTTCTCCCTTGTAGTGTAGTCCATTCAATCCTGCTTCTTCAAAATAAATAAAATATGAGTTTGCGATTTGTATTTGGTGATAACTTCAAAACTAATAACAGTAATTAACACCCCGCTGTCCGCACAAGTGTGGACAATATGAAATATATTTAAAGACAGATAACCAACCGGAAAAACATGGATAATGTCAATTTCTCAAGACATGGCCTCCGTTTTGAAAACAAGTGTGCAATTAATTTTTTTATACACTTGTATCTGCAACGGTGATTCTGACATTTTTTAAGAGAATTTCTTTAGATAGTACTATTATCTACAACTTCTTTAATACATTTTCGGACCAACGGTAATACATATTAAAAAAAGTTACGAACAAAAAAAATATAAAAACTAAAAATGAAAAGTTTTTGTAATTTCAGTAGTAGAGTTTTATCTCTTTTGTATGTTTACACAACGTTACGTATGGTTTTGTACTGCAAAAAATTGATTTGAGAAGGTTCATCAAAATTTTTCAACCCCAAATTTTTATATTTTGCTGCCCATAACTTTTTTATCGTTAATATGGGTACGCTAGAAAGATTTTCGGTCTATTTTCAGAATGTAACATCTCCGTTATTAACAGACTTATGGTTTTGATATTTTAAATATTGTTGTCCATGACTTTTTTTTATACAACGAAAAGGCAACTTTTTAAAAACAATTTGTGATCATACATTTCTTTTAATTTTAGTGAAATTTTTGCATAACGTATTTTTAAAAATCAATATCTCAATTATTGAAGGAAATTTCAGAACACAGTTTTCAACATTGCTTTCAGTTTACAAAACTCCAGAAGTCGTACTCGATATATCGTCGAATTCTTTTGTTAGAAAAGATACACAGCTTTTATTTTTACTATATCTTAATCCCAACAAATAAAGTCTAAAATAGATCTAGTACGACTTCTAAAGATTTGAAAACTGAAAACAGTGGTGAAAACTCCGTTCCAAAATTTCTATAAATAACTTAAATATTGATTTTTTGAAATACATGATGCAAAAATTTCAACAAGATTTAAAACGTATGTATGTCAATAAATTGTTAAAAGAAAACTGTCCTCGCAGTTATGTAATGAAAGTTGTGGACAAGTTACATTTAAAATTACATAACACTCCTCTTAACGCCGAATTTTCTGGACTATAACTTCAATTGTTTATGTTTATTCTTCGAAAAAATTCGACTATTAGCAGGATCAGAATACAATCATTAGCAATTAAAATGAGAGGAAATTTGATTTTGTCTCCTCAACGCAGAAATGATAACCTTAGAAAGCTTGCAAGTTTTCAGAAGAGCTGAATGATTGCGTAATTAAAAATGTGTACTTCTGAAATTTTGCCAAAAAATTTATAATTTGAAAGGCAACCGCAACTCAGCGAGTGAATTACCGCCCCCACAAAATCGCCTTTATGACTGAGCCGCTCTGTATATGCACTCACACATCCCACGAACGGTGTGATAATTACATCACTATGAGCATCAATTAGTCATTCCCTTGAAAGAGTGTCGGCTGGAGGAACGCGAATGAGCTCGCCATGAAGCACAGATCGAAAGCACAAGGCGCACAACGGCAGCCGCGAACTGTTGTGAGAAATGTAACTCTAATTTTACTTTTAATTAAGTTCTGTCATTAATCAAGGACACACGGTATGGAGTTTGGGAGTTGCCAGCGCCGTCTACGATCCTCGTCGGGCATTAAGAGCACGGGGGCCGCCATCAGGCCCGCTGAAAAATTAACATGATTTCTCAGATTGACAAAACAGGGGGATTTCGCCGAATCCACACAGCCCAGTTCCGAGTTCGAGCTCGTCGAGTTCACCTGAAACCCTGTTAATTATTATTAATGGTTTACTAATTTATGCGAAAAGCTGCATCCGGAATCAACAAGTGTTTGGAGGTATTGTACCTTCTATAATTGCTGTACTGAATAAGATTAGTTTCCGCTTAGTTGGGTTTTATTTCATAAATATCGCGCTTTGTTTGCGGAATTGTCTCTTCCTGGTTAAACACGAGCCGGTTTCTTCCCTCGGCGGTGCTTTCTTTATTAGGAATCGCGGAGGGGTTATTAATGGAGGAATTAGCATGAAATTGGTATTTTTGCTTAATATAAACAATTATCGAAATAAGGAGAAGTAGAATCCTGACGTGATTCAATCGGAATGAAGGGGATTAAAAAAGTTTGAATATCAATAATAACCAATTTGAATAATTGTATTCAAATTAATTTAAATTTAAGTCAATATTGGTGGCATTAAAAAATCAATTGTTTGAACACATGGCGGTGCGCCCCTTAGTCAAATAATGTAAAGTCGTGTTCTATTATGCGAGAATGCATGTTCCAATTTCATTCAATGCGGCTCCTATTTCTGTCTTCACATATATCGGCGAGCTGCGTAATTTCTAACCGCATCAATAACGTTTTTAATAAATTATAGATATTATCCATTCACGATCTTTAAAGTAGGCTTTGATATGTTTTCTTTAAGTTTTAGTTTAAGTTTTCTGTCAGTAGTCTGATTGACATTTGCTTTGAGCTGGATTGCCACTTTTCTACTTCATTTATTAGATCAGAATTATTAGACGCAATTTTTTAATCAAGAAAATAAATGTTTTAATTTTGTCAGTTAATAAGCATTTGGAAGTACTTAGTAAAAGCAAATAAAGAGCACTTACGTAAGCATTAATAATAGCTATATAGATAAATCATTCAATTTAAGGCCGGAAAAATGTTTCAGAAGAGTTAAACCCATCAAAGCACTAGAGCAAGGTTGTTGTCTTTTACCAACCCTTTTACTAATCTTAGAAAAGTGAAAAAAGAAGTTGGAAAATATGGAAATAGACTGTTCACAAAGGTCGAAATTTCCATTTCTAAGAAGAGTGGGCGAGCAGAACGAACTGATGATTGAGAATTAAAGATGAGATGCTAAATGTGGCATGCGACAATAGTCGTATGCAGAACCCCCATTCATATAAAAACAATGTTTAAATGAAATTTTAGTGTTTGTTCCTTATATATGAAATAAACACTTACAAAAAGCCAAAAAACTGTTTTAAATAGCGTAAAGTTCTATGCTTTCTAAGAAATGGATACCGTTAACTTGGTCATTGCCACTGAAAACTGAAAGTATCGGCAACAGTGTTTATATTTCTGGCATATTTTTTAACCTTTAACTTAATTAAACATAACCTAACGAAAAAAGTTCATGGAATTTTTATTCTTCAATTTTCCGATTTTTCAGTTTTTCCTTTTTTCAGTTTTTCGCTCTTATTATTTTCCCATTTTTCACTTGTTCAATATTTCAGTTTCTCCAGTTATAACTTTACAATTTATCGTTCTTACAATTTTTCAATTTTTAGTTTCTCAAATTTTAATTTCCCGATTTTTCAGTTTTTCTTTTCCTCAATTTTTTGATTCGGAATTTTTAGCCGATTATACAATTTTGGAATTTTTCAATTGTAGAATGTTTAAATTTTTTGTTTCCCAAATTTTAATTTTCCGATTTTTTCGTTTTTCGTTTCCTCACTTTTTCAATTCTTCAGTTTCCCAATTTTTAATTTTCCAATTTTTCATTTCGTCAATTCTTCCATTTTTCGCTGGCATAATTTTTTTCGATTTATTAGTTTCCCGTTTTTCAATTTTTCTTTTCTTTCGTTATTCGTCTTCGATTTTTAAATTTGTATTTTTTGTATTTTCAAACGTTCGATTTGCAGATTTTCGATCTTACAATTTTCAGATTATACGGTTTTCCGATTTTTCAATGTTTCGTTTCTTCAATTTTCGATTCGCAGTTTTCGCTGCTTCAATTTTCCGATTATACAATTTTTCAATTTTTCATTCACTTTCTCGATTTTCGGGGTGTCATGAATTTTTAAATTTTTTGGATTTTTTTGGATTTTCTGGATTTTCTGAATTTTTTAAATTTTTTTGATTTTCTGGATTTTCTAAATTTTTTGGGTTTTTTAATTTTTTGGATTTCCTCGATTTTCTGGATATCCTGTTTTTTTTTTGTTTTTTGGACTTTCTCGACTTTTGGATTTTCTGAATTTTCTGGACTTTCTTGATTTTCTGGACTTCTGAATTTTCTAGACTTTCTGGATTTTTTTGGAAGTACAGATTCCTTAAACTTTTTCGACTTTCTGGATTTTCCGGATTTTCTGGACTTTCTGAATTTTCTATATTTTCTGGATTTCTGGAATTTTTATTGGATCTTCTGGATTTTCTGGATGTTCTTGATTGTTTGGACCTTCTATAAGTTCTAAATTTTCTGGAAATTTTAGATTTTCTAGAACTTCTGAATATTTTGGATTTTCTGGATTTTCCTGATTTCCTGGACTTTCTGGATTTTCCGAAGTTTCTGGAATATCTGGAGTTTCTGGATTTTCTGGACCTCTTGTTTTTTTATTTTTTGGACTTTCTCGATTTTATGGATTTCCTAATAGAATAGAACAAGATGGCGACGAGTGAAGAAGTGTTTTCGGATTCTCAAAGAAGTGAATCGGAAATAAAGTGCGATAAATGCAAACAAGTGCTAAGAAGCAAGTGTACACGTTGTGTAGTTTGTGGGCTAACTTATCACCCTAGTTGTGCTCGTGAAAAAAATAAAAAAAAGGAAGTGTTTAGTTTCTTTACCGAAACAGAAATGGAATGTCTTCATCACAATAAAACAGCGACTTCAGAGAGTACATCTGTCAAGATAGGAGATGAAGAAACTTCGATAACGGAAACAGTAATTAGTTTCCTAAAAAGCAACACCTTTTCTAGCATCTTACGCAAGGCAATAGAAGCAGCCACCGTCTCCCTGCGTGACGAAATTCGAAGTCTTAAACAAGAGCTTAACAATGTGAAGAGTTCCAATGTTGATATGATAAAAATGTTGACAGATTATCCCAAAAATAATTTGTTGAAGGTGCCCTCTTTCGATGTCGATGTGTTCTCCGATATATCTTCCGATGGCATAAACGATACAAACGAGTGGAAAAAAAAAGTACACTATAAAACATCACGCGATAAGAGTGTCCAAAACCGATCCGGCCAAAAAACTAATAAACAGCAGAAAATTCCGAAGGATAACAATAATAAATCCGTTTTAGACCCAAAGGTTATCCCGTTTATTCCATCTAATCCATCATTAAACGTAGCATCGTCGAACATGGAAAAAAATGAAAAAAATGAAGAAATATCTTCTCACAACGCCCTAAATGATGCCGAAGGTTTTCAAACTGTTGTCTCAAGAAAGAAAAAGCGTAACTTCATTCGAGGTAAAGCTTCTGCTACAAATGAAAATGATACGTTGATAAAGGCTGTGCCGCGAAATGGGTATATCTATGTCGGTAATTTACATCCAAACACGTCTGAAAACGATTTGAAGCTATTCTTAAAGTCTAAATTCTCTGATAAAGAAATTAGTGTTGACAAACTTCCTAAGAGGCCTACTGCCAAAAGCGTGTCATTCAAAATCACAGTGGTGAAAACAATTTTTAAGGATTTCTTCAAGGAGGAATTATGGCCGGAAGGAATTTTAGTGAAAAAATTTTACTTCTTAAAAAACGAAAAAGTGAATACGTCCCTAATGAATTAATAGAAAATTTCTGTTTCAAAGGGGCCAGTTTTCGAATTTTATTTTTAAACATACAGTGCATTAGAAACAAATTTAATATGCTTTTTTCAGAAGTGGAAATTCTAAAAATAAATTGTATCTGCCTTTGTGAACATTGGTTGAACCATATCGAAATCGATAATATTCATGTGCCCGATTTCAACACGGCAGCATTTTTTGCGCGGTCTTCAAAGAAGCATGGAGGAGTCATGCAGCTGATGCACCAAAGTATCCCCTTCAAGATTCTGTCTGATAAGGTATCAGCACTTTCTGCTGAGGTGGATTGCGAATTATGCGGCGTACTTATCACTAAGTTAGATTTAATTTTAATAACGGTTTATCGCTCGCCAAAAGGCGATTTTCATAAATTTATTGATACTATAGTCATTCTTCTTAATGAAATTCATTGCAAATCTAAATACGTCATAGTGGGTGGAGATTTTAACTTATTATTTGGCACTAATGATGCAAAAGCCAATTATTTTTGTAATCTTTTGTCTAGCTTCGGCTTATATTCTACTGTCAGATTTAAAACGCGTTATAACAACACACTTGATAATGTGTTTACTAATATTAATTCAGATATGATAAATATAACACCTGCTAAACTTTATCAGTCGGACCATACTGGAATATGTGTAAATGTTACTCTAAAGGAAGCTGTATTCGATAACTCATTTATCCCTAAATATGTAAGGCCCATCTCACAGTTTGGGAAAATCATGTTTTTTAATTTATTACAACAAGTTGATTGGAGTTTCATTGATCAAAATTGCGACTTTAATGCGTCTGATTTGTTCTCGATCTTTATAGATACGCTACTATTGTATTATAATATCGCCTGCCCTGAGAAGAAACTATCGTGTAACAGATCCAAGGTCCATAATATAATTTGGTATACCCCTGATTTAAAAATCATGCGAGAAACTCTGCATCTAATATATAGTTCTTACAGATTATATGGGACTTTGGGTTTGAAAATAATATATAATAACTTTAAGCGTAAATATGAAGAAGCTGTTAAAAAAGCTAAAATTGCAGCTAATAATGTCTTTATTAAAAACAATTCTAATAATTCTAAAGCTATGTGGTCATTAATAAACAGAAGTAGAAAACGTACTATTCATGAAACTACAAAAATTTCCTCTAACGAATTCAATTTACATTTCTCGAGCATTGCTAAAAATATTCTTAATTCCTTACCAAATACTAATCTTGATCCTGTTAAAATTATGATATCTGTTAATAACACGTCACATATGTTCTTTAAATTCAGGACAGTTAGTGAGGTACAAGTACGTGAGGCATTGAATAAATTAAAAAATAAGAGCAGTAAAGATATTTATGGGTTCAATGTCGACGTTATAAAATCAGTAAAGGATATACTAATTGCACCTTTGACCAAATTAATAAATAAATGTATTGTTGACTCGGTTTTTCCAGACTGCTTAAAATTGGCTTTAGTATGTCCAATATACAAAAAAGGTAATGTCAATGAAGTTGATAACTATCGACCAATCTCCCTTCTTCCAGTGTTGTCTAAAGTGTTCGAAAAATTAATGTTAGAACAAATCCTTGAATTCTTTATTAGTAATAACTTGTTTTGTACAAATCAGTTTGGATTTCGAAAAGGCTTATCCACTGAAAAAGCTGTTCTATCTTTTATTGATAATGTCGTTAAATCCTTTCAAGATGGTGAATATTTTGTGTCTGCCTTCCTAGATCTTAGTAAGGCATTTGACTGCATGTCTCATGAAATACTAATCCGTAAACTTTTTTTTTACAACTTTCAGCCAGATGCCACTAGATTAATTTCATCGTATCTTTTGAATCGATTGCAAGTAGTCTCTGTTGATGGTATAGTCTCCGATAAAGAACAAATCGCGTATGGTGTACCTCAGGGGTCCATCTTAGGGCCTCTACTTTTCTTAATTTATGTGAACGATCTGCCATACTATTTCCCTGATTTTTTTACGATATTGTACGCGGACGATACTACTTTTAGTAAAAAGGCAATGTCATCTTCATTAGTAATAAGTACTCTTATGAATATATCTTCGCAAGCGGAACCTTGGTTTTTCGCCAACAAACTTTGCGTAAATAAGAACAAATCAGTTCAGATGGTATTTTCATTGAAGAAAGATAAGTCTTTTGCGGATACGAAAAGTACTAACAAGTTTCTCGGAATTGTTCTAGATACTAAATTACTTTGGCATGAACATGTGGATTATATTGTTCACATCATTTCTAAAAATACTTATCTCTTAAGAAACTTATCAAATCATGTTGATCAAAATATATTAAAAATTGCATATTATGCGCTAATACAATCTCACTTAGTATATGGTATACTAATCTGGGGACACAGCGCCTCGTCACAAAACCTTTTTAGGCTTCAAAGAAGAGCTATTAGAATCCTTTCAGGTATTGGTTATCGTAATGATTGCAAATTTTCATTTCAATCCTTAAATATTTTGACATTGCCCTGCTTGTACATCTATCACTGTTTTAAATTTTTAGTAAACCAAATTAATCAATTTCCTACACTGAGTTCTTTCCATGACTATAATACCAGGTCCACAAATTTGTTAATCGAAAATTTGAGAATAAACCGTTGCAGAACTGCCAGGAACTATTTCTGTATAGTGTTCTTTAACAAATTACCTCAGAGTTTCCGCAACCTTCCACCATCTCAATTTCTAAAAAAAATCAAGGATGTCTTAACCGAAAATAGTTTTTATAGTTTCAATGAATATTTTCAATATAATTTTGAGTAATTTCTTGTTTATCATGTAGCTAGCTCATAATCTACATAAGTATTGTATTGCATGGTTTTTATGTTTATTTTTACTATTACATTCTTGTAAACTTTGGACGAGTGTATAAACTTTATGTTTTTAGCACAATAAAATTACTTACTTTATGTTTTTAGCACAATAAAAAATTACTAAACTTGTTGGATATTCAGGCTTTTCTGAATTTGTTTTTTTTTTTTGGACTTTTTACTTTCTAGATTTTCCGGATTTTCTGGACTTTCTCGACTTTTGGATTTTCTGGAATTTCTGGACTTTCCTGATTTCTTGGACTTCTGAATTTTCTGGACTTTTTGGATTTCTTTGGAATTTTTGGATTTTTTGGACTTTCTAGATTTTCTGGATTTCCTAGACATTTTGAAAATTCTAGATTTTCTGAATTTTTTGTTTCTTTTTTATTTATTAGACTTTTTCGACTTTCTGGATTTTCCGGATTTTCTGGACTTTCTGAATTTTCTATATTTTTTGGATTTTTGGAATTTTTATTAGATCTTCTGGATTTTCTGGATGTTCTTGATCTTCTGGACCTTCTATATTTTCTAAATTTTCTGGAATTTTTAAATTTTCTAGAACTGTTGAACATTTTGGATTTTCTGGATTTTCCTGATCTCCTGGACTTTCTGGATTTTCTGAAGTTTCTGGAATATCTGGAGTTTCTGGATTTTCTGGACCTCTTGTTTTTTTGTTTTTTGGACTTTCTCGACTGTCTGGATTTTCCCGGTCTCTGAACTTTTCGGGTTTTTTGGATTTTTTGGACTTTCTCGATTTTATGGATTTCCTAAACTTTTTGGATATTCTGGTTTTTCTGAATTTGGTTTTTCTTTCGTATTTTTTGGAGTTTCTCAACTTTCTAGATTTTCTGCATTTTCTGGACTTTCCCGACTTTCTGGATTTTCCGGATTTTCTGGACTTTCTAGACTTGATAGACTTCTGGATGACTTCTGGATTTTCTGGACTTTCTGGACTTCTGGACTTTCCGGACCTTCTGGATTTTCGGAATTTTTTTCAATTTTCTGGATTTCCTAGACTTTTTGGAAATTCTAGAGTTTCTGAATTTTTTGTTTTTTTTTTTTTCTTAGATTTCTTCGACTTCCTGGATTTTCTGGACTTTCTGCTTTTCTATATATTCTGGATTTTTGGAATTTTTATTGTATCTTCTGGATTTTCTGGATGTTCTTGATTTTCTGGATCTTCTATATTTTCTAAATTTTCCGGAATTTTTAGAATTTCTAGAACTTTTGAATATTTCGGATTTTCTGGATTTTCCTGATTTCCTAAACTTTCTGGATTTTCTGAAGTTTCTGGAATATCTGGAGTTTCTGAATTTTCTGGACCTCTCATTTTTTTAATTTTTTGCACTTTCTCGACTGTTTGGATTTTCCGGGTCTCTGGACTTTTTGGGTTTTATTAATTTTTTGGACTTTCTCGATTTTATGGATTTTCCGGATTTTCTGGACTTTTCCGACTTTCTGGATTTTCATGATTTTCTGAACGTTCTGAACTTTCTGGACTTCTGGATGACCTCTGGATTTTCTGGACTTTCTGGACTTCTGGACTTTCTGGATTTTATGGATTTTCTATATTTTCTAGATTTTCTGACCTTTCTGGAATTTTTGGATATTCTGGATTTTCTAAATTTTTTGTTTTAGTTTATTTTACGGACTTTCTCGACTTTCTAGATATTCCTGATTTTCTGGACTTTCTGGACTTCTGAGTTTTCTGGACATTTAGGACTTCTGGACTTTCCGGACCTTCTGGATTTTCGATATTTTCTGGATTTTCGGAATTTTTTGGATTTTTTTAATTTGCTAGATATACCGGATTTTCTGGATTTTTTATAGCATCTGAATTTTCTGGAATTTCTGGACCTTCTGGACTTCTAGACTTTCTGGACTTTCTGGACTTCTAGACTTTCTGGATTTACTATATTTTCTGGATTTTCGGGATTTTTTGATTTTTTTTATTTTTTTGAATTTCCTCGATTTTCTGGATCTTCTGAATTTTTTGTTTTTTTTATTCCTTAGACTTTTTCGACTTTCTGGATTTTCCGGATTTTCTGGACTTTCTGAATTTTCTATATTTTCTGCATTTTTGAAATTTTTATTGGATCTTCTGGATTTTCTGGATGTTCTTGATTTTCTGGACCTTCTATATTTTCTAAATTTTCTGGAATTTTTATATTTTCTAGAACTCTTGAATATTTTGAATTTGCTGGATTTTCCTGATTTTCTAGACTTTCTGGATTTTCTGAAGTTTCTGGAATATCTGGAGTTTCTGGATTTTCAGGACCTCTTATTTTTTTATTTTTTGGACTTTCTCGACTGTCTGTATTTTCTGGGTTTCTGGACATTTTGGGTTTTTTGGATTTTTAGGACTTTCTCAATTTTATGGATTTCCTAAACTTTTTGGATATTCTAGTTTTCCTGAATTTGTTTTTTTTTGTATTTTTTGGACTTTCTCAACTTTCTAGATTTTCCGCATTTTCAGGACTTTCCCGAATTTTCCTGATTTTCTTGACTTTTTAGATTTTCAGAATTTTTTGTTTTGTTTTATTTTTTGTACTTTCTCGACTTTCTAGATATTCCGGATTTTCTGGACTTTCTGGACTTCTGAGTTTTCTAGACATTCTGGACTTCTCGACTTTCCGGACCTTCTGGATTTTCGGAATTTTTTGGATTTTCTGGATTTACTGGATTTACCGGATTTTCTGGATTTTTTGAATCATCTGAAGTTTCTGGAATTTCTGGACTTTCTGGACTTTCTGGACTTCCAGACTTTCTGGTTTTTTTTTTTTTGGATTTTCGGGATTTTTTGATTTTTTTATTTTTTGGACTTTCTCGAATTTCTGAATATTCCGGATTTTCTAGACTTTCTGGATTTCTGGACTTTATGGACTTGTGGACTTTCTGGAATTTTTGGAGTTTCTGGAGTTTCTGGACTTTCAGGTTTCTGGATTTTCTAGATTTTCTGCATTCTTTAGTATTTTTGGAATTTTTGGACTTTCTCGATTTTCTGTATTTTCTTTACATTCAGAATTTTCCGAATTTTCTGAATTTTCAGAACTTTTTCAATTTTTCAATTTAATAATAATAACTTTTGATTATATTAATTGTTTGTGTTTTCAATTTTTCGATTTAGAATATCTCGTTCTTAACGATCTCTCAGTTTTCAAATTTTCGATTCTCCAATTTTCGACCCACAGTTTTTCGCTAATTCAATGTTCCGTTTATATAGTTTCAAATGGCGTGGGGATTTTGTAAGAACTATTACAACAAGCATTTAAATTCTCAATGGTCATTGCTACTGAAAACTGAAAGTATCGGCAACAATGTTTATATTTCTGGCATATTTTTTCGCCTTTGATTTAATAAAACATAACCTAACGAAAAAAGTTCAGGGATTTTTATTCTTCTGCATCGAATACCAACAAACTCACAAGATTTTCATGGCCAACCCTACTATATAAAAATCGTGAACGGATAATACATTAGAGCACGTTTCGAAATTGACATACGTGTCTTTGCTGAAAGAATGTACGGAATATTTTAAATTTTTAAGTACTGGTCCAAAGCCACCTGCCCCCTCCTAAACCCCCACAACCCCTTCACGTGTTAAAGCCTCCAGATACCGATCAAACCCATTAAAAATCCCAGTTAATAGCCCTTTTATCCTGTGAGAACGCGCTCCAACTTCACAAGTCGATAGTTTAGTTAAATCACGCCCTGATCCGTCCAATTTGATATATTCGAACCGTTCGCCTATAGCGGCAATATTCCAGGGAGACACGTGGGGTGGTCGACGGTGGCAGTCACGTGGCCTCGGCGAGAAAACATTCAATACCGGTATTTGCGGCACGTGACCGGGCTATTTACAAATTGCCGGCGGTGTGATGAGGATTGGAACGGTCTGCCCCCCGGGGACTCATGAATGTGTATTTCCACCGATACATGCTCCAGATACACCGCCGTCCCCGGGGAACAGTCATAGACTGTTTGCTTTATTAAATCCGCACGGTGCACACGGCAAATACGAGGTGAGCTGGGCACAATTAAAGGAGCAAAAGTCCTTCGAGGTGGCTTAATAACGGCGAATCATTAGCCTAAACAGGAGTTTTCACGAAATAAAAAAAAAAAAGAAAAAATCTTGTATGTATACGCGTTGTGAAAGCCTGCTTTCAACACGACAATGATATTTTCGCCGTTCTTCACGCTCCGCTTATCAGCACCGATGGTTTATTCGTCCATGTGTTTACCCCTTGAAGGTCCTCGACGTACCCAAGAGCGCAATCCAGGCGTACACAAGTGTCCTAATATTCCTACCTATGTGGTCCGTTCAATAGCGTGAGGACAAAACGTCTCGTTAACTAGCCTCCTCGGTACATACACTACACCCAGCCAAACACTCTCACCCATTGTCCGCCGCCCTCTGCCTCCTGGTGATGCCGACAACAATCCAGGATGTCTCCGATGCGGTTATTCCACACAATGCGCCCCATATCATCCGAGCTGTTGAATATTTTTTCGAGCAGAATAATTTTTTCGTGACAAGAATTTTCCGGCTCCGAATTATTTCATTACGAAAAAATGTGGGGCGGCGAACCAAATAGAGTGTGTTTTTGAAAAATGGGCAGTTTTGTTTTAGGTATGTATGTAGAGTGCGCTGCAGGGGTGGAACGACGGGCTCTATCAATATTGACATAAAAAATTTAATTAATATTTTGGTTAGGTTTATGGCGGTGGAAGGACATATGTGATGATATTGGTCATATATTTAATATAGTGTCAATGAAAATTAATAAGCACTTATCTAATTTCTTATCAGGGGAGAAGTCGGTTGATTTATTACTGACTATTTAATAAAATATTTATATCTACTATTTACTCATTGAGGTTGTTACACCTGCAAATTTAATAAGCGGGAAGCGAGATAATATAAACAAATATCGGGGGTGGTTAAGGACTAATTAATAATACAGTTAGCTCTTCTAAGAATATGAGATGAACTACATGCAGATATTTATTCTCTAGTGGTTGTCGGAAAAAAGTGACGCATTGTTTGTTGCACCACTTGATCGAGCGTAACGCTGAAGTAGTGGTATTGTTTTAACTAAAATATAGATAAAAGACTTAATAGAATTAAATTAATAGAATATAAGCTATTAATTTTTTGAGTTTGTCTAAGATATCCATTTTTTTAATGACACTATATATTCTTTAGAATTTTTATAGAGCGTGTTTTTGTAAATTCATTAACGTATCATATTTTAAACACCCATTCTCAGCCACTGTCTATGATTCGAACACATGTTATGAACGCTCGTGTGTTTATATTTGGTCTGGAATGCACTTGTCTTTAGAAAACAGAAACGGATTAACAATGCTTAGCGAACTTTCCCATTTGAAAACATTTCGATCAACATTATCTCAGTAAGAACACGTATGTCAATTCCGATACGTGCAGCTAGGGGTGAAAGGGAGTTGGTACACCATCGGCGGAAAAATTTAGATACACCCCTGAAAAGCCTAAATTTTACTTCAAATATATATTTTACTAAAAATATAAATAAAATTTGGATCCGCACACCGACGCTTTGGTATACCACGTCTACTGGCGTTCCTGGAAAATTCCCAATTTTCAAATGGTCCCATCGTGATATTTTGTCTTTGAAAGATTGAAAAAATCTCAAAGATTTTTCTGTATATTGTTTTTGAAGTAATTAAAGAGAATCTTGAGAAGCACTTGTATTTTGTTTTTGAAGTAGTTTGAAAAAATCTCGGCATTTCTGTTTTGTTTTTGAAGTAATTTGAAAGAATTGGACCCCTTGTGGTTTGTGCTGAAGTAATTGGAGAGAATCTGGAGGATCCCCGTGGATCTTGTTTTGAGGTAATTTGAAAGTATCTGGAGTGTATCTTGTGTTTTGTTTTTGAAGTAGTTTGAAAGATTCTCGGGAACCCCCTGTAGGTTTTGTTTTTGAAGTAATTTGAAAAAATGTCGGAGATCCTTTGTGTTTCGTTTTTAAAGCAGTTTGAAAGAATCTCGACGTCCCCTGATCTATGACGTTTTGTTTTTGAAGTAATTTGAAATAATCTCGGGGATCCACTATATTTAGTTTTTGAAGTAGTTTTGAAAAAATTTCGGCGACTGCTTGTGTAATTTGAAAGAATCTTGGGGACTCCCTGGGGTTTGTATTTTTGAAGACCCTTTGTGTTTCGTTTTTGAAGTAGTTTGAAAGAATCTCGACGTCCCCTGATCTATGATGTAATTTGAAACAATCTCGGAGAGTCCTCGTATTTAGTATTTGAAGTAGTTTTGAAAGAATTTCGCCGAAAGCTTGTGTAGTTTGAAAGAATCTTGGGACTCCCTGGGGGTTTTATTTTTGAACACCCTTTGTGTTTCGTTTTTGAAGTGATTTAAAAGAATCTCGACCTCCCTTCATTTATGAAGTCCTATTTTCGAAGTAATCTAAGAGAAACTCGGAGATACCTTGTGTTTTGTTTTCAAAGTAGTTTGAATTAATTTCAGGGACCACCAGTATCTGTTTTTTAAGTAAGTAGTTTGGAACATTATCGAGGATAGATTGTGTTTTGTTTTTGAAGTACTTAATTTTGACACAATCTGTTTTGAAGTAGTTTGAAATTAATCTATGAGATTTCTTGATTCGTTTTGGAAGAATCTCAGGAGTCCCTTGTGTTTTGTTCTTGAAATAATATAAGAGAATCTCAGAAAACCTTTGGGTTTTGTTTTTGAAGTAGTTTTGAAATAATCTCAGGGACAGGGATTCCTTATCTTGTTTTTGAAGTATTTTGAAAGAATCTCGACATTTCTTGTCTTATTTTTGAAGTAATCTGACAGAATCTCGGGGATTCCTTGTGTTGGGTTTTTGAATTTGTTTGAAAGGACCTCGGCCATACCTTGTGTTTTGTTTTCAAAGTAGTTTGAACGAATTTCGGAGACCACTTATGTCTGGTTTTTGAAGTAGTTTGAAATAATATCCAGGATACCTTGTGTTTTGCTTTTGAAGTACTTAATTTTGATAGAACATGTTTTTGAAGTACTTTGAAGTAATTTGCTGGATTTCTAGGTTCGTTTTTGAAATAATTTGAAAGAATCTCAGGCGTCCCTTGTCTTTTGTTTCTGAAATAGTTGGAAAGAATCTGAGAAATCCTTTGTGATTTGTTTTTGAAGTAGTTTTGAAAGAATCTCGAGGATCCCCCGTAGGACCTGTTTTTTAAGTAATTTGAACTGATCTCGGGAAACCTTTGTGTTTTGTTTTTTAAGTACTTTGAAAGAATCTCGGCATTTCTTGTCTTATTTTTGAAGTAATCTGAAAAATCTCGGGGATTCCTTGTGTCGGGTTTTTGAATTTGTTTAAAAGAATCTCGAACATACCTTGTGTTTTCTTTTCAAAGTAGTTTGAACGAATTTCGGAGACCACTTATGTCTGGTTTTTGAAGTAGTTTGAAATAATATCGAGGATCCCTTGTGCTTTGCTTTTGAAGTATTTAATTTTGATAAAATATGTTTTTGAAGTGTTTTGAAGTAATCTGGTGGATTTCTAGGTTCGTTTTTGAAATAATTTGAAAGAATCTCAGGCGTCCCTTGTCTTTTGTTTTTGAAATAGTTGGAAAGAATCTGAGAAATCCTTTGTGATTTGTTTTTGAAGTAGTTATGAAAGAATCTTGAGGATCCCCTGTAGGACCTGTTTTTGAAGTAATTTGAACTGATCTCGGGGAACCTTTGTGTTTTGTTTTTTAAGTAGTTTGAAAGAATCTCGAGATTCCTTGTCTTGTTTTTAAAATAATTTGAAAGAATCTCATGATTTCTTGCCTTGTTTTTGAAATAATCTGAAAGAATCTCGGGGATTCCTTGTGCCAGGTTTTTGAATTTGTTTGAAAGAATCTCGGCAATACCTTGTGTTTTCTTTTCAAAGTAGTTTGAACGAATTTCGGAGACCACTTGTGTCTGGTTTTTGAAGTAGTTTGAAATAATATCCAGGATCCCCTGTGTTTTGCTTTTGAAGTATTTAATTTTGATAAAATATGTTTTTGAAGTGTTTTGAAGTAATCTGGTGGATTTCTAGGTTCGTTTTTGAAATAATTTGAAAGAATCTCAGGCGTCCCTTGTCTTTTGTTTTTGAAATAGTTGGAAAGAATCTGAGAAATCCTTTGTGATTTGTTTTTGAAGTAGTTATGAAAGAATCTTGAGGATCCCCTGTAGGACCTGTTTTTGAAGTAATTTGAACTGATCTCGGGGAACCTTTGTGTTTTGTTTTTTAAGTAGTTTGAAAGAATCTCGAGATTCCTTGTCTTGTTTTTAAAATAATTTGAAAGAATCTCATGATTTCTTGCCTTGTTTTTGAAATAATCTGAAAGAATCTCGGGGATTCCTTGTGCCAGGTTTTTGAATTTGTTTGAAAGAATCTCGGCAATACCTTGTGTTTTCTTTTCAAAGTAGTTTGAACGAATTTCGGAGACCACTTGTGTCTGGTTTTTGAAGTAGTTTGAAATAATATCCAGGATCCCCTGTGTTTTGCTTTTGAAGTACTTAATTTTGATAGAATATGTTTTTGAAGTGCTTTGAACTAATCTGGTGGATTTCTAGGTTCGTTTTTGAAATAATTTGAAAAAATCTCAGGCGTCCCTTGTCTTTTGTTCCTGAAATAGTTGGAAAGAATCTGAGAAATCCTTTGTGTTTTGTTTTTGAAGTAGTTTTGAAAGAATCTCGAGGATCCCCTGTAGGACCTGTTTTTGAAGTAACTTAAATAATCTCGAGATTCCTTATGTTGTTGTTGAATTAATCTGAAAGAATCTCGGGGGTTTCATATGTTGGGTTTTTAAAACACTTTGAAAGGATCTTGGGGATCTCAAGTCTTGTGTTTTGTTTTTGAAGTAGTTTTCAAAGAAACTCAGAGACCCCGTGTAGAACTTGTTTTTGAAGTAATTTAAAACAATCTCGGGCATCCCTTTTGTTTTGTTTTTAGAGTAATTTTAAAGAATTTCGGGAATCCCTTGTCGGTCTTATTTTTGAAGTAATTTGCAAGAATCTCAGCGACCGTATTTTGTTTTTGCAGTGATTTGATCT